ATACTGTCTATTTTACCAATATTCTTCAAATACTTGTCATTTTAAAGTAGAAAGCAAGAATTTTCTTTCTTATTGGTTTTCCATCGGAAGGTTCATCAGCAGCTGTGTTGGAAGAGTGTCGATAAAGGCATTACTTTTAGCACGTTGAAGATAACTTATTAGCCATTTATTTGTGACAAATATTACTGTTCCTGAGTGCCATAATCTGTCTATCGATCCATTTACCTGTCTATCTTTGTTCTGTGTTTAAATATTTGGTTGATCAAAGTATACCACTGTTATTATTATCGCTGTTATTATTGCTATTGCTATTATGAATCCAGCAACAAATTGTCTACGCCGTACTTGGAGTTGGTTACGATCCGCTTTTATCGCATTATGGTTAAATATTAAACACTACACAGCGATGCTGTGTAGTAATTGTGGTTGTACCAATGAAGTTGACGATATTGAACGTGGTGCTAACCATAACAAAAATTCTTCAGACATCCACCAGGTTGATTTGGCCGGGATGGGAGATTTGAGTAAGAAACCAAACGCTGGTGGCGGCAGTGTGGCTCCATCGCATGTTCATAAGGTATTTTTTGAAGTCTCAAATCGTATTATTTTTGTTAGGCTAATCATAAATTCTATCATACAGTTCTGTTTACTTATCACTGTTTTAATTTTCCTCTTTTGTTGTTGGAACTTTGCGTTTTTGGATTAGGTTTTTAAGTTTTTAAGGAATCAATAGGTGATTCTTCTAATGAATAGTTTTTTAATCGCAGTAATATGTCGAGATTTAATTATACCTTTGTATAAATGTGAATTAGGTATCTTTAATTATACTTGCTACATTTCATCCTGAAAGCCAAAGATTCAGAGGTAAATGTTGTTGACATGAATCACACGATGGTGATTAATCGGAGTAGGGCAAATGTTAGGTAGTTTTGCAATACTGATGTATTTTTTTTCTTTGGATGCTTTAGGACCTTTTACGACTTAGTCTTATGCTTTTTTTTCAGATAATTATGGTTGGAAGTGGTGGAGTTGGGAAATCAGCGTTGACGTTGCAGTTTATGTATGATGAAGTAAGAATTTTTTGTTTTCTGTTTAGATGTTGTTTTTCGTTGGTTTTGGTCAGTTCTACGTTGACATTGCACAGTTTTTTAGTAATGATTTTTGCGTTGAGTAAATATTTTTTTTGCCCGGCTGAATCATAACAGCGTACAGTAATATCCTGAATATATGTTTACTGAAGTATGCTTCGAGTTTGGGAAGAAAATAGGATTGACTGCACTTTTATTTGATTCAAATACATGCGGTTGACCATTGTTGAGCAAATGCAGAAATGTGAGTAAAACAAAGAAGTTGTCTACATTCTGCTGTTCTTTCAAATTTTCAAATTTCTTTTATATCTTTAAGAATTGCTTTCTTCGTTCTGTAAAAACCTCTGTAACAGTTTTCTTTCCGAAAAATCATTCACAATTACCACTTTTCTTTTGTTGGTAATCCCCAGGAAGAAGAAATATTTTTTTGTATGAGAAACATTTTCATCCGTTTGACTGTTTTTCTATGTCTCTGATTTAACAGTTTTTCATTGTTTTGAAGTCGCACAGTAATGTTCTGTTTTTTTTCATTCTAAAGTGGAAATATCTTCGAAACCGGGGCTGTGGGGGGTGGCTGGGAGAGAGCAGTCAAGACAAAAAAAGTGTGCTTTTACGGCAGTAATTTTGTTTCTTGTATTTTTTTTCTCGTTAAAGTTTTCAAAAACACTTGTTTTTAATCTGAACAACATGAGACTTTCTTTTCCGGTCTCTCTAAACCTATTTTGTGCAGTGGACTTGCTGTGTCTCATAATGACCTTTTTCTTTTTCGCCTTTGAACCCAATTTCTGATTAATCGGTGTGACAAGTGGCACTTTTGCATCAGTGTAGCTTTGGCAATTATTTCTTTCTCAGTTATGGAATCTGCTTATTTTTTTTCACTTGAATTTGACAATAGTCTTGATTAACAGAAGTCTAGTCTTATCTGATTGGGAAATTATATTTAAGTGTTTAATGAGGCTAGATCTTATATTTGCTTGAAATAGAACTTTTTAAAACCCATGTGTTTTTCCATCAGCAGTTCAGAAACGTTTAGCTTGAACTAGTGTTGATAGTAGTATTATGTTCAGTAAGCTAAAATTTTTTGCATTCACACGAAATTATGATTTAGGCCTTTTACAGTTGGGTTTCTGCCTCTACCCGTGATTGATTTCGATTTCGCTGGTTTAGATTAGTAATTTTGGAAGGAGGCGATGAAGATTTAGGTTGATGGTCGAACTTCCCGAGATTTAAGGTTAGTTCTGAAAGTTGTGGTGAAGTGTGAGCATTCTTTTACAGAAGCAGTTTTATGGGATTTTTGAAACTGTCCTGTTTTTACGAGAAAAATTTTGTTAAGAACAAATTGTTATGCGAGTATTTTTATTAATTCGTAGCTCATTAATGTTGAAAACAAGTATAGAAGTAGCCAATAGCGACTGAAGGTATGAAGGAGAGGGTGGTGGATGGGAAGGCGAATGATCTGGCGGGTGATCGGCGTCAAAAACTCCTTTGTGGAAATAGGCGATAAGCGCTGGTTTGGGTCTCATTAGAACAGTGACATTTCTTTATCAGCCTGTTTTTATGTTCATGAATGTTTTTTTTCTAATTAATAGACTGCACCTGTTATTAATTCCGTGGGTTCTATAAACAGCTTTTTTTTTTTTTT